GTATTGTACTGTTGTCAATAGTACTATGTAATGTCCATATAAGCTGTATAGAGCTTGAATGTCATAGTTGAAGCTGTGTTATTGTTTTAACACTGGAATTGCATGTTTAAATGTGTAAAGGCTTACATGTGTTTGGATTTTGAGACTAAGTTTATTCTTATGGTTTTGTAGTAATTTTGTATGTCTTGTGACTTTTCTATATCACCATTGTTATGTAATACATATTGTTATGTAACTGAACCATTAGGACAATTACATAAATTAATGTTGGATCATTGCTGTGTGACTTTAGATTAGGCAACATTCATTGTTTATAGTATGTTAGGTTGTAAATAGTGGGGTGGTTGGATAACCACGGAGGGGGGGGGTAATATGTCTGTATAATATGTTCAGTGCAATGCATTGTATGGTCTGTAGTCGATTATTAAGTACCATTTCGAGGATGTGTATATAAAAGTGTTGTTCATATCATGTAATTCTGTTGGGTAGCTCCAACAGGTTTGGGTTAAGTGATAGGATGAGGGAGCAGGGAGGGGGGGGTGTACCCACACGGAGTTGTAAGTGTGGTGTGTAATATTAGCTGTAGGGAGGATTGTGTTAATTATCGACTTAAATGAGTTTTACATATTACATTTTGTAATGTCATGGTTTAAATAAAATATAAAAAAAAAAAAAAAAAAAAAAACCATCCATTTCACATACGTCACGTGCCCAGTAGCACTGGACGTGTAACTCTTGATGCGGACACGTACGTGGCTGTGGCAGGCTACAGGACTAATTTCATTCTCCTCCCGTTTGAAATGCCAGTTACACGAGCAGCTTACATAGTAATGCATTAATACACACACACACACACACACACACACACACACACACACACACACACACACACACACACACATATATATATAATATATATATATATATATATATATAAACACTGATCTCTGGCTGAAGGAGACTCGAACCTACGAACCTTGGAACAAGGTACGCAGTGCTTTACCAATCTACCCACACTGGACCAATACCTTGGAGTCCAGCTTGCGCTAGACTTTGATCCAAGGCAGCCAGCTTTCAGGGAGAAGACTTACAGCTTTTCATCTCATCCCCTGCATGCATCAGCCTTACTAGAGACATTAACAATGCAAGGAATTCGCAAGAGCAGGCGAAATATACACAAACACTGATCTCTGGCTGAAGGAGACTCGAACCTACGAACCTTGGAACAAGGTACGCAGTGCTTTACCAATCTACCCACACTGGACCAATACCTTGGAGTCCAGCTTGCACTAGACTTTGATCCAAGGCAGCCAGCTTTCAGGGAGAAGGATTACAGCTTTTCATTTCATCCCCTGCATGCATCAGCCTTACTAGAGATATTAACAATGCAAGGAATTCGCAAGAGCAGGCGAAATATAATATTGTTCCGTTCTAGGTGTTCCACCACTCTCCTGATAATCTTCTCCATCATGACTTTGCACACAATACATGTCAAAGACACAGGTCTGTAGTTTAGTACCTCATTTCTGTTTCCTTTCTTAAATATGGGGACTACATTAGCTGTCTTCCATTTCTCAGGTAGTTGCCCAGTTTCAAGGGATGTGTTGAAGATTGTGGTTAGGGGCATGCACAGCATCTCTGCTCCTTCTCTAAGGACCCACGGGGAGATGTCCGGTCCCATCGCCTTTGAGGTATCAAGGTCACTTAGCAGCTTCTGCACCTCCTCCTCGGTTGTTCGTATGTCATCCAACACTTGTTGGTATATTCCCCTCTTGATGTTTCCCTTCTGTGCTGTCTTCCCAGAGCCCTTCATGTCTCTATTGTAAAAATTTCCCTTTAAATCTCCTGTTTAGCTCCTCACATACCTCCTGATCATTTCTTGTGATTTCTCCACCTTCTGTCCTCAGTCTGATCACCTGGTCTTTGACTGTTGTCTTCCTCCTGATGTCAGGCTATACAACATTTTGGGGTTCAGTCTTGATTTTCGATGCTATGTTATTTTCATACTGTCGCGGGCCTCCCTCCTTACCTGTGCATACTCTTTCCTGGCTCTGCGACTAATCTCCCTATTTTCATGTTTTCCCTCTGCCTTCTGTACTTTTTCCATTCTCTGTTGCACTTTGTTTTTGCCTCCTTACAACCGTGGGGTTTAAACCGGGGGCTCGTTCTGATCTTCCCATTGTTTCTGTTGCCCTTGGGGGAATAAACCTTTCCACTGCCTCCTTGCATTTTGTTGTTACATATTCCATCATTTCATTTACTGGCTTTCCTGCAAGTTCTCTGTCCCACGGAACCTCCTGGAGGAATTTCCCTCAACCCCTATGTAGTCCCTTCTTTTATAGTCTGGCTTTTCCCATTCACTCCTGTTACTCTCTCCCCATTTGCAACTCTGTGTATTCAAAGCACAAAACCGCGTGGTCACTAGCTCCTAGGGGACTCTCATATGTGATGTCCTCAATATCTGAACTGCCCAGGGTGAACAAAAGGGTCCAATCTTGCTGGTTCATCCTCCCCTCTCACTCTGGTAGTGCCCTTTTAAAATGTTGGTGCATGAGGTTTTCCAGCACCACATCCAACTTTTTGGGTCTCCATGTTTCGGGGGCCCCCATGTGGCTCCCGGTTTTCCCAGTCAATCTCCCTGTGGTTTGAAATCCCCCATAACCAGCAACTTGCTCTGCTGGAGTGAGCTCTTCTTGCCACCTCAGCAAGTGTGTCCACCATTGCTCTGTTGCTCTCTTCATATTCCTCTCTTGGCCTCCCGCAGTTCTGTGGTGGATTATACATCACTGCAATGACCACCTTGTGCTCCCCAACTGAAGTGTACCTACTATGTAGTCCCTTTCTCCTGTCTCCCTCTATGCCTCCCATTTTCTCGAATTTCCATCGTTTTTTTTACGAGCAGAGCAACCCCTCCTCCCCCTCCCGCCCCTTCTATCTTTCCTCATGATCTGGTATCCTGGTGGGAAGATTGCACTGTTATTGCCCCAGAGTTTTGCTTCTGTAATTGCTATGATGTCTGGGGACTTCTCATTGATTCTTTTTTGCCATTCCTCATATTTATTCGTTAATCCATCCGCATTTGTGGGACCAAACCTTCAACTTCTGTTCTAATACTGTAACTGTGGTCCTGGGGGGAAAACTGGGGTTGGGAGAGCAGGAGCCCTGGGTGGGGCCTGTGGGGGTTGCAGTGGAGGTGGAGGAAGAGCTCCCATAGGGGGGTTTCTCTAGGGTAGGGTTCGTGGAGCGGGGGGGGGGGAACAGAGGGATCGGTGTGCGATGGTTGGTTTGGGTTGTTCAGTTGCCTTGGGGGTGTCGTGGCTGGAGTCCTTTCTGCAGGTGTTTCTGGGGGGTGTGCTTGTCCTTCCACCTGATCCTGGGTTATTCTGCTCTCCTTTTTCATTTCCTCCCATTCTTCCTTTCGTTTTTGCACTCTCTCTTTCAGTATCATCCTTTCCCTCCTGGTTGTCTCGATCGAGGTACACACTCATGAACTCCTGCCTGCCTCTCAGCCGTGCTTCTCCTGCAGGATCATGGGTTTGAGTTGATTCTGCCTTGAAAAAATTACTTTGAGAGGCCGATTCCTTTTCTTTGTGAACCACCCGATTCTCCGAAAATTTGCCACCTGGGTCATGTCTCCCTCGCCTATCACCTTCATGATACCTTCAATCACTTTTTTCTCCTCCGCTGTGTGTGTGTGTGTGTGTGTGTGTGGTGTGTGTGTGTGTGTGTGTGTGTGGTGGTGCGTGCGTGCGGTGTGTGTGTGTGTGTGTGTGTGTGTGTTGTGTGGTGGTGCGTGCGTGTGTGTGTGTGTGTGTGTTGTGTGTGTGGTGTGTGTGTGTGTGTACTTTGTTCCATTGTTGGTTGCGGGCGTGTAGTGTGCGGTGTGCTGTTGTGTGTTGTGTGTGTCTGCGTGCGTGTGTTGGCTTGTAACGTGTGTTGTTAGTGTGTGTGTGTTCGTGCGTCCTGCTGTAGTGTGCTTGTGTGTTTGTGTGTAACTCACCTAATCGTACCCTATTGTGGTGCGGTCGAGTCCAGCTTCCTGGCCCCGCCTTTCACTGATCGTACAGGTCCTCCTCTCCTCTTCCTGCTTTTCACCTCTTCTTAAAGCTATTATGTTCCCCTCCACTACACTTGCTGGTGTTCCTCTTCCTGACAACTCTATGACTAAGAAATTCCTCCTAGTCCCTGTGATCGTTGAGTCTTCAGCTTCAGTTGTGACCCCTTTTTGGTCCCTCTACTGGAATCCTGTCTCTGTCCACTTTTTATTCCCCGCAGTATCTTGTTGTCGTTATCATGTCTCCCCTGACCCTTCTGTCCTCCAGTGTCGTCAGTCCGATTTGCCTCAACCTTTCCTCTTACGACATTCCCCTGAGCTCTTGGGACTAGTCCTTGTGGCAAACCTTTGTACTTTCTCTAAACTTTGGACGTGCTTGACCAAAGGTGTGTAGATAGTTGTGATATGTGATGTAGTTGTGTTTGTTAGGTTGTAAGATTGTATTTGTACTTAAGGCTTGGTGTATTCACCTAATTGTGGTAACAGGAGTCGAGTCTCAGATTCTTGGCCAGCGCCTCTGCTGGCCGCCGCTGGTGGGGTGTGCGAGAACTTGTGAATTTCTTGAAAAAACAACGCTCAAGAAAAACAAAATCCAAAATAATAATAATAATAATAATAATTTTGTTATTATTATTATTATTAGTAGTAGTATAACTATTATTATTTTAGTGGTTATGCTTCGTACAAGAAAATTCCCATATATGTGTGTAGCTTCATGGAAATTTTCAAACATTCAGTGGAAATGACTCAGCGCACTTTTATTTTTATTGTTATGTCGTGGTAACATTACTTTGAAGTGAAATTTCACGAAGGAATCAATTTCTGATGGAATTTCATTGTAGTCGACGTGAGTAGTGATACTGTTGTCAGAGGAACCGGCCGCCAGGTGGCTGTACTCTGTGACAACACCTGCACCAGGTGTACTGTTCAACATTACTGTTTCCAGAATCATTATGGGAGCAGCTGAGCGCATGGGCGTGCGGACGTGGGTGGTTGTGGTGATGGTAGTGGTGGGCGTGTGGGTGGAGAGCTGTAAGGGTGAACACCATCGTTCACACAACACCAGACATACGCCCATCAGACGTGAGAAAGCAAAGACAACCTCTGACAGGGTAAGTATCATCATCACATTGTTACCCACAAATAAAGGTAAAAAATAAAATATCAGATAAATAATAAGGAAGTCTTCGTAGCATGTGTAATGGAGCAACAAGCACAGCTCTAAAGATTATTATTGGTGGAGGCTTGATCCTGCCCGAAATGCATTGCATGTCAGTGGTTTTCTTTTCTGCTTAATAATGTTTTGTTACACGGAAACTGCATTATTGTACCGCATAAAAACAAATAAAAAATTGAATTTTGAATCTAATATGAGTCAGACAGGTTGTCTTCTTGTACACTTCAAGTTGTCAAATAAGAAAGCGACACGGAAAGGATACTAGAAATATCATCTTTGTAAATACAATAGTAAAATGAAATCGATAACAATCACTGGATATAATAAAAAGACAACAATGTATAATACTGAAAAGGAACACCACGAGCCTAGCTCTGCTCTTCTAGTGACAAATAGGTAAACAAACACACACACACACCATACACAGCTTTAAGAAGAGGTGTGATAAAGCTCATGGAGCAGAAGCGTGACGTAGTAGCGACCAATGAAGAGGCGGGGCCATGAGCTGTGAATCGACCCCTGCAACCACAACTAGGTGAGTACACGCACACACAAATACACATTATCAGGAGAAAAGTGGTGGAGCACCAATAAAGGAATGAGCATATCAGCGACAGCCAGCACGGCTTCAGGGACGGGAAATCCGTGTCATAGTCCTACTGGAGTTCTATGACAGGGTGACAGCAGTAAGACAAGAGAGAGAGGGGTGGGTAGATTGCATTTTCTTGGGCTGTAAAAAGACTTTTGACACAGTTCCACACAAGAGATTAGTGCAAAAACTGGAGGACCAGGCAGGGATAACAGGGAAGGCACTATAATGGATCAGGGAATACCTGTCAGGAAGACAAGCGAGTCATGGTACATGACGAGGTGTCAGAGTGGGCCCCCGTGACGAGTGGGGTTCCACAGGGGTCAGTTCTAGGACCGGTGCTGTTTCTGGTATATGTGAACGACATGACGGAAGGAACAGACTCAGAAGTGTCCCTGTATGCAGGTGATGTGAAGTTGATGAGAAGAATTCAGTCGGACTAGGACCAGGCGGAACTACAAAGGGATCTGGACAGGCTGCAGGCCTGGTCCAGAAACTGGCTCCTGCAAAATCATGAAGATTGGGGAAGGGCAAAGAAGACCGCAGACTGAGTACAGTCTAGGGGGCCAGAGACTACAAACTTTACTCAAGGAAAAGGATCTTGGGGTGAGCATAACACTGAGGCACATCAACCAAATAACTGCTGCAGCATATGGGCGCCTAGCAAACCTAAGAATAACATTCCGACATCTCAATAAGGAATCGTTCAGGACCCTGTACACCGTGTGTGTCAGGCTTATATTGGAGTATGCAGCACCAGTTTGGAACCCACACCTAGCCAAGCATGTAAGGAAATTAGAGACAGTTCAAAGGTTTGCAACAAGACTAGTCCCGGAGCTAAGGGGTATGTCCTACGAGGACAGGAGGACAGGAGAGATAGGGGGGACAGGATAACGACATATGAAATACTAAGATGAATTGACAAGGTGGACAGAGACAGGATGTTCCATAGATGGGACACAGCAACAAGGTGTCACAATTGGAAGCTGAAGACTCAGATCAATCACAGGGATGTTAAGAAGTATTTCTTCGGTCATAGAGTTGTCAGGAAGTGGAATAGAATGGGAAGCGATGTAGTGGAGGCAGGATCCATACATAGCTTTAAGAAGAGGCATGATAAAGCTCATGGAGCAGGAAGAGCGACCTAGTAGCGACCAGTGAAGAGGCGGGGCCAGGAGCTATGAATCGACCCCTGCATCCTCAAATAGGTGAGTACACTGGAATGACCAGAACAGTGCTACAGTGGACGCAGAATCTATACAAATAAATTATTACACACATACGTTTTTGTGTCTCACGTTTGACTAACTGAGTCTGTCTCTCAGGTGTGTAACATTCACCCTGCACAAGACAGAGAAACTCAGGAAAATCTGAAGTGATGCATCCAGAGAGTTACCAGAGCCGAGAACACGGCCAGCTAAAGAAGGTCTATATAGGCAAGGATAGACATGGAAATCTATTTAGAAGGGGAGCTATGAGACTTGCCTTGACGCTGCATTTTTATTATTTTTATTTAGGGGGATAATGGAGATTATGAGGGGGCTTCAGCCCCCCTTGTTCCCCCCTCTCCTTGGTGCCGCAACGGACTGGGAAGATTTTAATTAAATAGAATGAGAATGCTTGACCTCAAGTCACTGGAAGAACTGACAGCAGTTCTGTTATAGTTATGACTTACAAAATACCCAGGGTAGACATGGGTAGGTTCTTTATCAGGGACGCAACGAGGACAAGGAGGCAAGACTGGAAACTACATAACCAAATAAGCCACAGAAATATCATGAATAATATTTCTTAGCATAAGAGTGGCAAAACAAGGGAAGACATTAAACAGTGACACATTAAAAGGTAACTCCATATACGGGTTCAAAAACACACATTCTCATATGACATTGCTATTTCGCGTCTGTCTGACGCAAATTAAGACAGGATCAAGAACTAAAGCTCGTCTGCCGCTGCCCCTTCACTCAAAAACTCAGATTGGTTATTACACACACACACATACACAGAGTTTGGGGTCATGATTTCATCCCTGGTAAGTACAGCAAGGATAGATGAGCACACACACACATACATACAAATACACACTGTCCATGCAAGTCATGTGCTACATCAAGTGTTTCTCTGTATGTTCTTTGTACCTCCACTTATACGTGTACCATTGTGTGTGTGTGTGTGTGTGTGTGTGTGTGTGTGTGTGTGTGTGTGTGTGTGTGTGTGTGTGTGTGTATGTATGTGTGTGTGTGTGTGTGTTTGTGTGTGTGTGTGTGTGTGTACTCACCTAGTTGTACTCACCTAGTTGAGGTTGCGGGGATCGAGTCCTAGCTCCTGGCCCCGCCTCTTCACTGATCGCTACTAGGTCACTCTCCCTGAGCCGTGAGCTTTGTCATAACCTCTGCTTAAAGCTATGTATGGATCCTGCCTCCACTACATCGCTTCCCAAACTATTCCACTTACTGACTACTCTGTGGCTGAAGAAATACTTCCTAACATCCCTGTGATTCATCTGTGTCTTCAGCTTCCAACTGTGTCCCCTTGTTACTGTGTCCAATCTCTGGAACATCCTGTCTTTGTCCACCTTGTCAATTCCTCTCAGTATTTTGTATGTCGTTATCATGTCCCCCCTATCTCTCCTGTCCTCCAGTGTCGTCAGGTTGATTTCCTTAACCTCTCCTCGTAGGACATACCTCTTAGCTCTGGGACTAGTCTTGTTGCAAACCTTTGCACTTTCTCTAGTTTCTTCACGTGCTTGGCTAGGTGTGGGTTCCAAACTGGTGCCGCATACTCCAATATGGGCCTAACATACACAGTGTACAGGTCCTGAATGATTCCTTATTAAGATGTCGGAATGCTGTTCTGAGGTTTGCTAGGCGCCCATATGCTGCAGCAGTTATTTGGTTGATGTGCGCTTCAGGAGATGTGCCTGGTGTTATACTCACCCAAGATCTTTTTCCTTGAGTGAGGTTTGTAGTCTCTGACCCCCTAGACTGTACTCCGTCTGCGGTCTTCTTTGCCCTTCCCAATCTTCATGACTTTGCACTTGGTGGGATTGAACTCCAGGAGCCAATTGCTGGACCAGGTCTGCAGCCTGTCCAGATCCCTTTGTAGTTCTGCCTGGTCTTCGATCGAGTGAATTTCTTCTCATCAACTTCACGTCATCTGCAAACAGGGACACCTCAGAGTCTATTCCTTCCGTCATGTCATTCACAAATACCAGAAACAGCACTGGTCCTAGGACTGACCCCTGCGGGACCCCGCTGGTCACAGGTGCCCACTCTGACACCTCGCCACATACCATGACTCGCTGCTGTCTTCCTGACAAGTATTCCCTGATCCATTGTAGTGCCTTCCCTGTTATCCCTGCTTGGTCCTCCAGTTTTTGCACCAATCTCTTGTGTGGAACTGTGTCAAACGCCTTCTTGCAGTCCAAGAAAATGCAATCCACCCACCCCTCTCTCTCTTGTCTTACTGCTGTCACCATGTCATAGAACTCCAGTAGGTTTGTGACACAGGATTTCCCGTCCCTGAAACCATGTTGGCCATGTGTGTTTGTGTGTTTGTGTGTATGTGTGTGTGTTTGTGTGTGTGTGTGTGTGTGTGTGTGTGTGTGTGTGTGTGTGTGTGTATGTGTGTATGTGTGTGTGTGTGTGTGTGTGTGTGTGTGTGTGTGTGTGTGTGTGGTGTGTGTGTATGTGTGTGTGTACCGATTAAGCCGAATCGCAGATTTTGGCCTATTCGGCAAGGGTTTCCTTTGCCCAATTAGCAGAATGAAAATTTGCCATAAATCAGGGGAAATCAGTCTAAGGATCACGAAAAAAGGTATATCAGATTTTAAGTAATATTAAATAAATTTAAATTAACCTATGATATTTATATATCAGATTTTGGCTAAAAAAAAAATTAGGTTAAGTGATGTTAGGTGAGGTTTTTAAGTTACGTTCGGTCCAAAAAAATAATTTTTTATATCATTATCAACGAAAAAAAAAATCTGTCATTCTCTAAAAAATTTTTTTGGAAAAGATTATTTTTAAGGGAGTTCGACCTATTCGGCAAGCTCGGCCGAATAGGCCGAACTTGTGTGTGTGTGTGTTATTCTATATATATGTATTATGTCTGTACAAGATATGCTCTCAATAAAATATATATATATATATATATATATATATATATATATATATATATATATATATATATATATATATATATATATATATATATATATATAGCACATTAAGTAATGGAAATCAAAAGATACACACTATACTGCTTCCCCCATGTCCAGCTACATCCTTGCAGTAATCTATAAGTGTGTTCCACTTGCACTCTTAGTTAAAAACAAATAATGATGGTACATCTACTATTAACATAGATTTTCGACGCGTATTATTGTACTTATTCAGGTGTTCTCTGCCAGCTGAGGTCATGTAGAGGAATATAAGCATCAATAGCTGTTTTACTGTCATACGCTTTCTTGTTGCGAAACTGTCAAGATAAATAACTTATATTACATATTATTCCATTTCCTTCCGCAAGGAATTCGGAGAAATGACGGAACTGGGGCGAATGTTCCTAAGATGTTCTAAGCGTCGCGTGGTAAGAACGAGGAGTTGGGGCAGGGGCAAGAAGAACTGCAAGAGGCTAAGTGGCAGCAGAACCTCTCCAGGAGTCCGAACAGCCACTGGTAAGAACAAATCAAGCCAGCGCCGCCGTCTTGATTCCTCACGACAGAACTGGAGGAGGAAGCTCAAGCATAGGATAAGGAAGAGACCAAAGAAAAGGAAGATTGGTATGGCGTGGAGAGCTGGTGGTGTAATGGTGATATGGTGTTTTTGTGATGGAGTGATGGCGGTGGATATTAGTATTCTGGTGGGATGGTGGTAGATGGTGATGTGTTAGTAAGAGCATACTACTTCTCTTTGTTTTATGCTATTTGTGTTTGAATTTCTTTGTATCTGAGTTTGTTTTTATTTGGCTTTTACTATTTAAAAACCTGTTTTTGCTTACATTTCTGTCTGGCCGTCCTAATCTGCTTGAATTTTATTTATATATCTGCACGTTTCTTCCCAGTATATTGCAGTATAAAGCCTACTTGATATATCAACCTTACATTTTCAAAAGTTAGATAATTAAGAATGAATTAATCTGCCATATAGGGATGATAACAGGATGCTCTTACCTCTGCAGTGGGTGCGTGTGGAGGAACGTACGTCCTGGGTGCTGGAGATGAGGTCAAGTTTAAGCTGCCAAGGTCCTCCACCTTCTGCGAAATGATCTTCACGGTAAGACTCACTAGCCGCTTCTTCTGAAGATGCTCCTGCTAGGATGAAATAGCGTATTGCTGACAAGGCGTGAAGACAAAGACAAAGCTGCAGAACAAGCCTTTAATGGGACAATAAAAGCTTGTCCTGCAACTTGTGCCTCTCTTTTCATGTTCCTGAAAATATGCCAAAAGATTCTTTGGATGTGTAGAGAGAATCTCTCTCTCTCTCTCTGTCTGTCTCTCTCTCTCAGAGGTTCTGTCCAGCAGTCTTTCTCGTTGACGGGTTCAGGATCTTTTAATTGATTGTCCCGTTTATCAAACGGTCAGCAGAGTTTATATCCGTCATTTCAGTTTTCAACCCTCAAACTCTCTTTGACTACTGTCGTAGTGCTGCATATTTCCTACGGATTTAGCGGCTTTCCATGAATATAATAATATATTTCCGACAGCCCCAGTTAGGGTCATCACTCTCCTTCAGCTGCAAGATCTTCAGAACGGCCCGCTGCAGCAGGGAGTTCCTCCACCTCACTGACGGCATCTCAACTTCCATGTGAGTTTCTCCTGTCACTTCTTCATTGTTCTCTATGTCCATAGATCCTCGTGTCATCTGCCCGTCCTTCCCTCCCTCCACGAAACTCCACCAGCTCCACGAGCTTAATAGCTTAATAGCTTAATAATTCACCAGAATTATTATTTTTATCTGGATTTAACGTTACAAACAGTTGATAAAAAAAATATGTAATTTTGTGAAACAATGGAAACTCGATTCTTCTTTCGGGGTTTGAACCTGTCACTGTTTTAGAGCTGGGCTCAGTTAGTTATGAATACTGTCCTCCCAGGAAGCATACGGGACATAACTCATGGACATGGCCAATACAAAGATGGGTAAGGTAGCATTATCTTGTTTTACCTGTCCCCATACTGATTATATGACAACTGACATTAGTCGCTGGTTAAGATAAATGATGCAGTGTCTTGATCATGTCGACAGGAGGCGGCATCTAGTGTTAAATTGGCTGTGATAGATACAATGACAAGTTGATGTTGTTGATGATGAGAGGTGGTGTCGCTGACAATGACATATATAGTTCTACCTCTCCCCAGCACGTCGTGTGATCGCCTGCCTCCCAGGCCCATGACAGCTCTCTCTCAGTTGTACTTGTTATACGAGAGGCGGAGGAAGAAAGCTAAGAAGTCCAGGATTGTTTGTCTCATCAACGCCCAAGGTAAAATACTGCACGTAGCTCCTTAATGGTCAACGACACACCATTGTTGACTACCATAGGGTAGAATTCATATAGAAGCTTTGGATTTTCCTGTCTGACCCACACGTGTGTTCATGCTAAGGAGGGTCAGTGTATCGGTGAGGGATGATGAGCTCCAACACCTGGGGTGGTGTGTATGTTGGTGCATACAGTACACACATACACATACACATACACACACACACACACACACACACACACACACACACACACACACACGCACACACACACACACACACACACACACACACACACACACACACACACACAGTATAGTTTAGATGGCCAAAGACTGCAAACCTCACTCAAGGAAAAAGATCTGGGGGTGAGTATAACACCGAGCATATCTCCTGAGGCGCACATCAATCAGATAACTGCTGCAGCATACGGGCGCCTGGCAAACCTACGGATAGCGTTCCGATACCTCAGTAAGGATTCGTTCAAGACTCTGTATACCATTTACGTCAGGCCCATACTGGAGTATGCAGCACCAGTTTGGAATCCACACCTAGTCAAGCACATCAAGAAATTAGAGAAAGTGCAAAGGTTTGCAACAAGACTAGTCCCAGAGCTCCGGGGATTGTCCTACGAAGAAAGGTTGAGGGAAATCGGCCTGACGACACTGGAGGACAGGAGGGTCAAGGGAGACATGATAACTACATATAAAATACTGCGCGGAATAGACAAGGTGGACAAAGACGGGATGTTCCAGAGAAGGGACACAGACACAAGAGGTCACAATTGGAAGTTGAAAACTCAGATGAATCAAAAGGATGTTAAGAAGTATTTCTTCAGTCATAGAGTAGTCAGGCCGTGGAATAGCCTAGAAAGTGACGTAGTGGAGGCGGGAACCATACATAGTTTTAAGGCGAGGTATGATAGAGCTCATGGGGCAGGGAGAGAGAGGACCTAGTAGCAATCAGTGAAGAGGCGGGGCCAGGAGCTATGACTCGACCCCTGCAACCACAAATAGGTGAGTACAAATAGGTGAGTACACACACACACACACACACACACACACACACACACCACACACACACACACACACACACAAATAAAGTGGGATGTTTGAATGTGCGTGGATGTTGTGCGAATGATAATTCGCACAAGTCAAAGAATAAATAATATATAGTTTAAAAAATAAGGAACTGTTCAAATAGCATTCATAAAGTGTACATTTACACTGTACATTCTCACTTAACTACAGTTACATTTGAAAATACTGAAGAGACACTGCAGTCACTGGATAGCACTCTCTTGGCACTTCACTGTATTCTGTTGCTCAAGGTACCTCACCGTTCTATCACATTTTACAGGAAATTGTACCACTGTTATGATCCTTCACTGTCGGTCACAGTTATTTTCTTTCTGACTGACCGAATCACTTCCTTCCTAATTGTTGACTGTCACTACTAACTGACTGACACTTCCTCGAAGACTGACCACCCACTCCCCACCTGTCTTTTCTTCCTTGAAGACTGACCAACAACTTCCCACCTGTCTGTCTTCTTCCTCTCTTCTTTCCATTTATTCCCCTGACTGTTTCCTTCCTGACAAGCCCAGCTCAGCAACTTTCTCTACGGCTCTAAATGCGATATTTCAGACTCCGAAAGATTTCTGCTGGGTAGTTTGGCTGTCATTGTGTTGGTGACTGAGTCTCAGCAGCCAGTCAGAGAAGCCCAACTGATACTTCGCTTGTTTCTATCGCTGTTTATTATAAAAGCTCTCCCTGCTTAACGTGTCTTTCAGTTGTGTATACCAGTAATATTTATCATTATTACATAAGTGCTATTGGTTTAGAAAAAAGTTAGGAACTATAATATGCAATTAAGCTTAAATAATGCAATCTTTTTACTCAAAGTGAATTTTGTTAACGATTTCGTGTATATTACAGGCAGCAACGATGGAGTGTTTGCAGACAGTGGTGGTGATGGTGGTGGTGGTGGAGGAAGTAGTGGTGGTGATGGTGGTGGTGATGGTGATGGTCTGGACACAGCACAGGGTCACCAGGCTCCAGGTTGCGCATCAAGTAAGGCTTAAGTCAGATATTTTTACTACTAAAGTCTTCTACAACACAAGTACTGAGTGAATACTTTACATATAATTTTAATATTTCATGATTTTTTTAATGTCCGGAAATTCGATCGGTGGATCCAGTGATGATAGTGGCGCCTCTCACCACTAGAATACTTTACAGTGTGTGGTGCAGCTCCCTCTGATGCTGGGGTGACTCGCATCGTGGGAGGAGGTGAGGCTCAGCCTGGGGAGTATCCCTGGATGCTCATGCTTAAGATCAATGATGGAAGATCTCCTAAACAGTGTGGTGGAGCACTCATCACTAGGAAAGAGGCCCTCACTGCTGCTCATTGTCTCAACTTCGAAAAGTGAGTCGATGAGGAGATTGAGAAAGTGAGGAGTGTGTTATTAGTTACCATTTTGTCAAAGTCACTTGTCTATAAAACACTTGGCCTGTTCGGTGTTTGCACGTGTGTGTGTGTGTGTGTGTGTGTGTGTAAGTAACTGTCTATTTGTGCTATATTCGACTAAAAATATGTTGGTTCTCCCTTACCATCAAAACTTGGCTGATATGCCTTCTCTTCTTAAGACTTTTAATATCAAAGTTGTGTTTAAAAATCTTGATACACTAAAAAAAACTTTTGATAAAAAATTTCCCCGAAATATTGACGGATGTGTCTATAAGAATCCTTGTGAAATATGTGATAAAGTTTATTACGGTCAAACTGGTAAAGTCTCGAACTAAGACTGGACATGATTCTAATGCTCTGTTTATTCATGTGAGAGATTTTAACCATCCAATTGCTTTTCAAAACGTTGAGAAAGTTGTATTAAGCAAGTCCATGGTCGACAGGAATATAATAGAATCATATTTCATAAAAGCAGTTTCGAAAATAATGTAAATATTTCTTTTGGTTTATATAAATTGGATTCATTTATAATTAATAAAATCTGGGAAGAATTTAATGATACAGAAACAAATCTTAATGCTTGGGTAGAGTTTTAGGTGGGTTTCACATAGTCGGGTGTAGTGACGTGACTGTGAGGTGTAGTCTTGTTGTTGTGACGTGACTGTGAGGTGTAGTCTTGTTGTTGTGACGTGACTGTGAGGTGTAGTCTTGTTGTTGTGACGTGACTGTGAGGTGTAGTCTTGTTGTTGTGACGTGACTGTGAGGTGTAGTCTTGTTGTTGTGACGTGACTGTGAGGTGTAGTATTGTTGTTGTGACGTGACTGTGAGGTGTAGTCTTGTTGTTGTGACGTGACTGTGAGGTGTAGTCTTGTTGTTGTGACGTGACTGTAAGGTGTAGTCTTGTTGTTGTGACGTGACTGTGAGGTGTAGTCTTGCCCTTATATGCCTTCCTGTCGATGTTTTATTTTTTATAGTTCCTTGATAATGTGAGAAATCACGAAATCGCTTGGAATTTCCCTGTTCTTTCTCAGTGGTTGTTCTGCATATTGTGATATCACTTGTTTACTGTGATCTTATTGTAATATATATATATATATATATATATATATATATATATATATATATATATATATATATATATATATATATTACATATTCATTATAGTATTATTATTATTATTATTATTATTATTATTATTATTATTATTATTATTATTATTATTATTATTATTATTATTATTATAAATAAGCGCTAAGCCACCAGGGTCAGACATGCCTTAATTAGTGTCATTATATTACTCTTCAATATCTAGTTGATACAGGTGTGTGATACAGTGTGTGGATACAGTGTGTGGATACAGTGTGTGGATACAGTGTGTGGACACAGTGTGTGGACACAGTGTGTGGATACAGTGTGTGGATACAGTGTGTGGATACAGTGTGTGGATACAGTGTGTGGACACAGTGTGTGGACACAGTGTGTGGACACAGTGTGTGGATACAGTGTGTGGACACAGTGTGTGGATACAGTGTGTGGATACAGTGTGTGGACACAGTGTGTGGACACAGTGTGTGGACACAGTGTGTGGATACAGTGTGTGGACACAGTGTGTGGACACAGTGTGTGGACACAGTGTGTGGATACAGTGTGTGGACACAGTGTGTGGACACAGTGTGTGGACACAGTGTGTGGACACAGTGTGTGGATACAGTGTGTGGACACAGTGTGTGGACACAGTGTTGGACACAGTGTGTGGACACAGTGTGTGGACACAGTGTGTGGACACAGTGTGTGGACACAGTGTGTGGACACAGTGTGTGGACACAGTGTGTGGATACAGTGTGTGGACACAGTGTGTGGACACAGTGTGTGGACACAGTGTGTGGACACAGTGTGTGGACACAATGTGTGGACACAGTGTGTGGACACAGTGTGTGGACACAATGTGTGGACACAGTGTGTGGACACAATGTGTGGACACAGTGTGTGGACACAATGTGTGGACACAGTGTGTGGACACAATGTGTGGACACAGTGTGTGGACACAATGTGTGGATACAGTGTGTGGACACAATGTGTGGACACAGTGTGTGGACACAGTGTGTGGATACAGTGTGTGGATACAGTGTCAAGATAACAGATATCACTAACAATAAATCCATCAGGTTATTTTATAGATTTCAATATTTTCGTACAGAGTTTAGTTTTCCAGTATCACATATAACATTTGTTCCTGCATCAGCACCACCTGAAGCGAATGATGTTTTAATATGCAGCTTAACTACCCTGAAAACAATATTATAATTACAGTTACTTCTGTTATCTCAGTCCCATTCTCCCTGACTGTGTTTTGATCCTATCATCACGGAAGGACTGGGTAACTCATTTCCTTTTAGAGTACTGGCAGTTACTTGCATGATATCTTGGTGACTTCTTGCCCAGGATGCCACTTCTTCCTCCTTGTCCTCCTCCAGCTTGAAGGTGACCGTGATAGCCGGCCAACATGATGTCAACAATGACGGAACAACACAGGTCGTAGGAGTTCAGAAGATGACTGTACACCCAGATTTCGACCCCATGACCTTGGTGCGTCTTTACTACTTACTATCTACACCTGAACACACCTTAGAGCATAGAACAGTAAAATACATGATTTATGTGTCGGTCGCCTATTGTGGGTCCTTGTTAAAGGAAGAGGGACGACTCCAATAGAAATAAATCATAATACTATAAGGCTTTGTATCTTTTAAAATCTAGAAATCTCTGTATCCTCATGTACACAACAATAAAAATTATACAAATAGTGAAATTTGCGGTTCAAGCAACCGTGGAATTCATAATTTAAAGGGTTTTATAATCTTTGGTGATCCCTGGTCAGGCGAACGACATAGCGGTGATAACTCTGGAAGAGGAAGTGACCTGGAACCAGCGTGTGGGACCTGTGTGTCTGTCTCCACCCAGGGACTACCAGGGTAACACTGCTGTAGTCTCGGGCTGGGGAACCCTCACCTACCGTAAGTGTACACAGAGATAATAGGTAATAATTCATGTTAAGCGCTAAACCCAAGTAGGTCATTCAGCGCAAGACATAGCGGAGGCTCGATCCTCCGTCTGCTGAGCCCCCGACAGACTCGCTTACTGTTTGTACTCGTCTAGATCAGAGACACATGGTTGGATGCTTCACAAAGGATATTTTTTTTTAATAACGGGGAAGCGCTAAATCCGCAAGGGGGTTCATTTAGCGCTTGAGTAATGAGAGGCAATCAAGTTCGAGCCAAAGAATGAGAGGAACAAATCCAGCTCCTGGGATCAAGAGCCCTCCCATCCCTCTCAGCTGAAACAAAATACCAACTTCTCTGTCAAAACAGCTTAATGATGTAATATAAATAAATATATGTTTGTGTTTTCATCAGTCGGAGATCAGTAGACGGAGGACCGAGCCTCCAGCGTTCGTTGCGACGTCTAATCCATGTGGGTTTAGCGGCTTACGTTCACTGTTATATTTAAGATTTTGCTCTGTAGGACGAGTTAACTGGATAGTTCCACCTCATGTTGTGAGTGAATATACAACCACTCATGTTGTGAGTGAATATACCACCACTCATGTTGTGAGTGAATATACCACCACTCATGTTGTGAGTGAATATACCACCACTCATGTTGTGAGTGAATATACCACCACTCATGTTGTGAGTGGCCTGGTGGTTAACGCTCTCGCTTCACACGGTGAGGGCCTGGGTTCGATTCCCAGCCAGAGTAGAAACATTGGACGTGTTTCTTTCCACCTGTTGTCTATGTTCCCCATCAGTAAAATGGGTACCTGGGTGTTAGTCGACTGGTGTGGGTCGCATCCTGGGACACTGACCTAAGGAGGCCTGGTCACAGACCGGGCCGCGGGGGCGTTGACCCCCGGAACTCACTCCAGATAAACTCCAGATAAACCACCATTCATGTTGTGAGTGAATATACCACCACTCATGTTGTGAGTGAATATACCACCACTCATGTTGTGAGTGAATATACCACCACTCACGTTGTGAGTGAATATACCACCATTCATGTTGTGAGTGAATATACCACCACTCATGTTGTGAGTGAATATACCACCACTCACGTTGTGAGTGAATATACCACCACTCATGTTGTGAGTGAATATACCACCATTCATGTTGTGAGTGAATATACCACCATTCATGTTGTGAGTGAATATACCCCTATAAAAAGTACATTACAGCTCAAATAATCGAGTTGTGTATATTCAAATGATATATACATGGAAAGGTATATGTCTCTCAGTAAGTATACTCTGAAAGTTTACTTTAATCTCCATTTCTCAAAGATTAAAGTATTCTTACTCGTGTTGAACAGGTAACATACAGTCTTAATGACCCTCGTGTAGTCGACAGGTTTTAAAACCCATTAAATTTACCTGCAGTGGGGAGTCAGCCAGAGTCGCTGCAGGAGGTGGCTGTGCAGGTCACCTCTCACCAGGAGTGTGAGACCAGCTACAAACAGTCATCCATCACTATCTTAGATACTCACGTGAGTATTTCAGTGTTGTTGGTAGTAGTGTTGTAAGGATGGTGGGGGGAGGGTGATGTGGTTGTCTATAGTCACATTTATCATTCTCGTAGTTATACATGTATTAGCTGCAGTCATAGTTATATTAATCAGTTATATTTGTTGCTATCATTGTTGCTTTAGTCATTGTTATGTCTGTTTCTCTCCTCCCCAGTTTCTCTCTCTCTATCTCTCTCTCTCCCTCTCTATCTCTCTCTATGGCACACATTCTCTCCTGTCATCTTCGTAGCGTCCTTTCTTCTACGTGTCTTTATCCAAAGTTGAGTAAACCCACCTAGCCCAGCCTAGACAGTGCTGCGACCCACATATCCAGGGCATCCCTCACCCCCACCTCTTCTAAGAAGTAACCTTGTCCTTGTCACACATGACAACAGTCAGCTGTTGAGTTTAGATGAAGCCTTCATAAAAGAAAGGTTGGATGGGGGGCGATTGTTTTAGATCAAGGTTAGATAAAACCAGTAACGGGGCCGTTCTAGATCAAGGCTAGATACAAGAGGTACACGGGGCGTTTTAGATCAAGGTCAGATATTAGTTGAGGATGGGAGGGGCCTGATAGGCAACGTTCTTGTTTCACTCGCTGAGTGTCCGTGGTTCGATCCCTGGCAAGAGTGAAAGCAATGGGCGTGTTTCCTTGCACCTACTTTTCCGTTCACCTAGCAAGTAGGTACCTGGGTGTTAGTCGACTGGTGTGGGTCGTATCCTGGGTACAAGACTGAGGATCACAAAATGAAAATAAGACAGACAGTCCTTCGATGACAGACTGACTTTCTTGGGTTATCCTGAGTGGCTAACCCTCAGGGGTTTTAAAAAGCCGAACATAACCTTATTTTATCTTAAAGCTAAGCACAGAGGTAGGCAGAAGGGATGCTTTGATTATTTTTGCATGTATAACGTAAACTTTATTCAGTGTGCCGTTATTTCATTGTGTGTAACAGTTAAGTTATGAGAACAATGTTCCCATGTCATATTAAATGTCTCAAGATGGGTTGCAGACGAGTCAGTCTGAGCTGGGAGACTTCAGAAGGAAGATGAGGATATCGTCAAGCATCCCAAAATGAGTTCATTAGGCCGCAGCAGCTTCCAAGATTACTATTACCATCTCTCAACATGTTTTATACAACACAGATGAACCAGAAGCTCTGTGCTAGTGTATACAGTAGCACACAGTAACATGTAGTCGTACGGAGCAATATGCAGTAGTATACACAAGATAGTAATAACTTTAGTAATCATCTCCCCAGGTGTGCGCAGCTGCTCCGGGTATGGACGCTTGTCAGGGAGACTCAGGAGGTCCTCTAGTCATGCTCACCGGCGGTATCTGGTACCAGGTGAGTCCTACACTACACTGACAGGTGATACCTGATACAAGGTGAGCCAAACCCTGTAGCAGTAGTAACAGGCGAATCTTTGCAGTTCATTATATAGGCACGAGATCATATGGACGAGGCCTTATGATGGACCGGGCCGTGGGGGCGTTGACCCCCGGAACACCCTCCAGGTGTGATGCTATAAGGCTGATAATATATGAATGATGCTACACAAGTACAAATAATCAGAAACAAAATTGTCTTTCTGAAATATATTTTCGACAGACTTCACTTTCAATCTGTCGTCCATGTTTACCCTTCCTCTTCTTCTTCCTCTTCCTCTTACTCTTCCTCTTCCTCTTACTCTTCCTCTTCCTCTTCCTCTTCCTCTTACTCTTCCCCCCATCACTGTAGAGGGTACATTAAGAAATTGACTGTTAAGAAAAAAAAATAGCCTATTTCCTTATATAAATTTCATTCAGTCCCTGAAGATACTAAAAACATATAATAAACACAGCTTAAAAAAATATATAAAGTGAAAATTGATGACGTAGCCGTCACGACAACGTAACTCAGAGGTGGAGGTTTTAACTCTTGTGTTAACATATTATTTTTTTTATAATTTTTGCTGGTTTATAGATGACTGGACGACGGTGCTCACTCAAGCTTAAAATTTTCAAAACAATACAGTGCTTTGAGAACCAACTGGACAAGCTTTCTCAGATTTTGCATTCAACTAAATGGCCCTTTACTACTACTACTACTATTACTACTATTACTACTACTACTACTACTACTATTACTACTATTACTACTACTACTACTACTACTACTGTTACTACTACTACTGTTACTACTACTACTACTACTACTGTTACTACTACTACTACTACTACTACTACTACTAATACTGTTACTACTACTACTACTACTATTACTACTACTACTACTACTATTACTACTATTACTACTATTACTACTACTACTACTACTACTATTACTACTATTACTACTACTACTACTATACTACTACTACTATTACTACTACTACTACGTTACTACACTACTACTGTTATACTACTACTACTAATACTACTACTACTACTACTACAACTACTAAACTACTACTACTACTGCTACTAACTACTACAACAACAACAACTACTACTACTACTACTACTTTACTATTATTATTATTACTACTACTACTACTACAACTACTACTCACTACTACTACTGCTACTACTAACTACAACAACTACTACCACTACTACTACTATTACTATTATTACTATTACTACTACTACTACTACTACTACTACAACTACTACAACTACTACTACTACTACTGCTACACTACTACAACAACTAACAAACTACTACTACTACTACTATTAACTACTTTACTACTACTACTATTATACTACTACTACTACTACTACTACAAACTACTACTACAACTCCTAATACTATTATTACTACTGCTACTACAACTACAACTACTACTACTACAACTACTACTGCTACTATTACTAGTATTACTACTATTACTACTACTACTACTACTACTATTACTACTACTACTACTACTACTATTACTACTACTACTACTACTACTACTACTACTACTACTACTTACTAATACTATTATATACTACTACTACTACTACTACTATTACTACTACTACTACTACTACTACTATTACTACTACTACTACTACTACTACTATTATTACTACTACTACTACTACTACTATTACTTCTACTACTACTACTACTACTACTATTATTATTACTACTACTACTACTACTACTACTACTACTTTCCCATGTACTGTCATATTTAAAATGTATTAAATGTGTAATGGTTTGCGTTTTCTTAGATAGGTATCGTGAGTTATGGCATCGGGTGTGCCAAGCCAGAATACCCTGGCGTGTACACCAGCGTCTCTTCCTACGTACCTTGGATCCTGGACCAGATCACCAGCTCCTGCTAGTCTCTACCTTCCTTGGGGAAAGACTGCGTGCCCTGTCGGACTCCTGCGTGCCCTGTCGGACTCCTGCATGCCCTGTCGGACTTCTGCATGCCCTGTCGGGCTCCTGCATGCCCTGTCGGACTCCTGCGTGTCCTGTCGGACTCCCGCATGCCCTGTCGGCCTCCTGCATTCCCTGTCGGACTCCTGCATTCCCTGTCGGACTTCCGTGTGCCCTGTATGACTCCCGCGTGCCCTGTATGACTCCCGCGTGCCCTGTATGACTCCCGCATGCCCTATATGACTCCCACGTGCCCTGTATGACTCCCGCGTGCCCTATATGACTCCCGTGTGCCCTGTATGACTCCCTTGTGCCCTGTATGACTCCCGTGTGCCCTGTATGACTCCCTTGTGCCCTGTATGGCCACTGTGCACATATCCTGTGCTGTTATATCTGATAAAAAATACTTCTCTCTAGCCTCTCCATTTATTTGGTCATTTTTTAAAACGATATTTGACACATAAATTGGCAAATATTGAAAGGTCAATGTAGAATGTTATGTCGACCACGAAGAGCGTATCTTTCTATTTTTCTGGCCAAGGCTTTTGTTAATATTATAACTTGTATACAGCTGTAGATTCATGTGACTCACGAAATCGTAATGACACGATTGCAAACAAACCATACCCCGGCTGGGATTGAACCCGCGGCTAACGCGACGGGCTGGAGTTTTGAGACTCTCTGACCGCGGGTTCAATCCCAGCCGGGGTATGGTTTGTAGATTCATGTAACTGGGATGGGGATGGGGGTTTACTTTGGCCTTCCATCAGATTTAATTGCCTTCCATTACCTAGGCGCTACATGGGTTTGGCGCTTCCAATAATAATAATAGATGTTTTTCCAGCTAGACGGCAGAGGATCTTAAACTGTGCAGCCATCAGAACCCGGTGAAGCACACTGAAGCATACCTTAAGTGAATCTAACATAGATAACACTGAACATGGGCTGCCACTAGGAGCTAGTAACCACATGGTGCTCAGCTTTCAATACTTGGTAAAGGTGGGAGTGGAGGAAAGAAAAGGAGGTACAGATACTAAACCTGATTATAGAAGAAGGGGTTGTGCAAGGATGAAAGACTTTCTATATGGAGTCCAGTGGGAGAGGGAACTGACTGGACTGACAAGACATGAGACGATGGAGGACCTCGCCAGAAAGTGACTGTTTGACAGGAACAAGGTAGACATCTAACAGGAGGTGTGAGACGTCAAGGCACAGAAAGAGACCTTGGTTTAATAAAAGCTGCAGAGAGGCTGAATGTGCATAAGACAATGGAAAAATATAGAATACAGATGATGGCAAAGAATAGGAAGACAAGCAAATATGCAAAGATAAGAGAAGGTGAAGGTCAGTTTTAGAATGACAAATCAGAGTCAAAACTTCTACACAGTCAGACAAAGAAGAAGATAACTGTGAAAGACCAAATAATAATGCTGAAGAGAGAGAGAGAGAAAGGAACAGAAGACAAGAGAAAAGTTTGAGATCAGTTAAGGAGGTATTCAATGAGGAAAGAGGAATAGTGTCAGAGTGTAAGGTTATTGTTATAATTATAATCATGTGTCGTGCTATCATTACCGGGTCTCACACTGTGTCGTGCTATCATTACCGGGTCTCACACTGTGTCGTGCTATCATTACCGGGTCTCACACTGTGTCGTGCTATCATTACCGGGTCTCACACTGCGTCATGCTATCATTACCGGGTCTCACACTGTGTCATGCTATCATTACCGGGTCTCACACTGCGTCATGCTATCATTACCGGGTCTCACACTGCGTCATGCTATCATTACCGGGTCTCACACTGCGTCGTGCTATCATTACCGGGTTTCACACTGCGTCATGCTATCATTACCGGGTCTCACACTGCGTCTTGCTATCATTACCGGGTCTCACACTGCGGCATGCTATCATTACCGGGTCTCACACTGTGTCATGCTATCATTACCGGGTCTCACACTGTGTCATGCTATCATTACCGGGTCTCACACTGTGTCATGCTATCATTACCGGGTCTCACACTGTGTCATGCTATCAATACCGGGTCTCACACTGTGTCATGCTATCATTACCGGGTCTCACACTGTGTCATGCTATCATTACCGTGTCTCACACTGCGTCTTGCTATCATTACCGGGTCTCACACTGCGTCGTGCTATCATTACCGGGTCTCACACTGCGTCGTGCTATCATTACCGGGTCTCACACTGCGTCATGCTATCATTACCGGGTCTCACACTGCGTCGTGCTATCATTACCGGGTCTCACACTGCGTCGTGCTATCATTACCGGGTCTCACACTGCGTCTTGCTATCATTACCGGGTCTCACACTGCGTCATGCTATCATTACCGGGTCTCACACTGCGTCTTGCTATCATTACCGGGTCTCACACTGCGTCATGCTATCATTACCGGGTCTCACACTGTGTCATGCTATCATTACCGGGTCTCACACTGTGTCATGCTATCATTACCGGGTCTCACACTGTGTCATGCTATCATTACCGGGTCTCACACTTTTTCATGCTATCATTTTCCGGGTCTCACACTGTTCATGCTATCATTACCGGGTCTCACACTGTGTCATGCTATCATTACCGGGTCTCACACTGTGTCATGCTATCATTACCGGGTCTCACACTGTGTCATGCTATCATTACCG